TGTGTGTGTGTGCGTCTGTGTGTGTGAGGTATATGTATAGGCATGGGTGTGTGTGTGTGATGTATATGTGTGGGCATGTGTGTGTGTGTGTGTTTGTGTGTGTGTGTGATGTTTATGTGTGGGCATGGGCATGTGGCAGTGAGGACAACTCTCAGTAGTCAGTTGTCTCCTTCAACTTTTACACGGGTTCCAGGGACTGTACTCAGGTCACCAGGTTTGCATAGCAAGCTCTTATACCATCTGAACCTTATATCCAGACAGAGTCTCACTCCTGTAGCTCTGGCTGGTCTTGAACTCACAGAGACCTCATACTTCTCTCAAGCACCAGAATTAAAAGCATGGGCCAGCCGGGCGGTGGTGGCGCATGCCTTTAATCCCAGCACTCGGGAGGCAGAGGCAGGTGGATCTCTGTGAGTTCGAGACCAGCCTGGTCTACAAGAGCTAGTTCCAGGATAGGCTCCAAAACCACAGCGAAACCCTGTCTCGAAAAACCAAAAAAAAAAAAAAAAAAAAGCATGGGCCATCACACCCAGTCTTCACATATTCTTAATAGCGTATTTTTTCTCATGTATCTCAGGCTGGCCTCAAACTCACTACATAGCAGATGGTCTTTAGGTTCTATTTTGTAGGCGTATGTGTGTAGGTAGATGGGGTTATATTCCTGCGTACAGGTGCATACACCAGCCTATGTGTGCCTGTGGAGGTCAGAGGTCACCACTCTCCACTGGTTGGTTGACCTGGAGCTCACCAATCATCTAGACTGGCTGGACAGTGAGCCCTTAGGATCGCCTTGTTCCTGCCTCCTCATGCTGCGATTACAGACTACTCGAGGCTTGTGACACGGGTGCTGGGATTCAGATCTGGGTCTTCACGCTTGTACAGTAAGCACTTCACTGACTAAGCCTGATTCCTTCTCAGCCCCCACACTGCCTTCGCCTCCCAAATGCTGGGACTCCAGTCTGAGTCAACACTGCCATTATGAGGGGCTGGGGATTGAGCCCAGGGCTTCAGGCAAGCAATTCTACTACATCTCCAGCTTTTTTCAGACAGGGTCTTGCTTTGTAGCAAAGACTTGCCTCAGACTTGAAACTCTCTTGCCTCGGTCTGTTGAACGTGGAATTATATGTGTATACCTTCATGCCTAACCTTAATAATAGAATATTTTTGGTTTTAATTTTTTGCTTTTGTTTGTTTGTTTTCAAGACAAGGTTTCTCTGTGTAGCTTTGGCTGTCCTGTAACTCACATATAGTGGCCTCAAATTCAGAGATCTACCTGCTTCTGCCTCCCAAGTCCTGGGATTAAAGGTGTGGGCCACCTTACTAGAACTGGATGGAGGTGGGTGGTCCTTGGACTTCCCACAGGGCAGGGAACCCTGATTGCTCTTTGGGCTGATGAGGGAGGGGGACTTGACTGGGAGAGGAGGAGGGAAATGGGAGGCGGCGGTGGGGAAGTGACAGAAATCTTTAATAAATAAATAAATAAAATAAAGGTGTGTGCCACCAGCACTCTGTAGCTCAAAGTAGCCTCAAACTTGTGACAACCTTCCTACTGTGATTACAGATGTGAACTATCATAACTAACATTTTGTTTGTTTGTTTGAGAAAGGGTCTCACTACATAGCTCTGGCTGTCCTGGAAATCACTATGTAGTCCAGGTTGGCCTCAAACTCATGGAGATCCATCTGCCTCTGCCTCCTAAGTGCTTAAAAGTGTGTGCACCATCACACCCAGCCCAACACTTAATAATGTGGGTTAATTATTGTGTGCATAAGTGTGCATGATGTGTTTGTGGGTAGAAGACAAATTTGTGGAGCTGCTTCCCTCTTCCCACCTTTACGTAGGTTCCAGGGATCAAATTCCCATAGCTAGGCTTGTGCACACACATGCACTCTACCCTCTGAGCCACCATACCACTCTCAACAACGTACCTGTTCGAGATAGGCCTCTCACTGTGTAGCTCTGACTGGCCTGGAATTCACAGAGATCCCTTTGCCTCTGGCTCCTGAGTGCTGGGATTGAGGGTGTGGACCACCATATCTGGCCTGATGGTGTACTTCTTCAGACAGTGCTTGGCTAGAACTGCCATACTGTGGATGCTCACTATACCGTCATCCCTTATGTTTTTTTGAATGGCTTAGGTATTACACGCTATTTTGAATGCAAAATCCCAGTATTATCACAGTCAGTAAACTAAATATAGCTATTTACACATGGGAGAGAAAGGCAATCTGTCACAGCTAACACTGTTAATAGCAGTCATCTCTGAGGAATGCATTACGGAGACAGCAGGGGCCGAGTAGCTCCTTCTCCTTTTTCATTTTTGACTTTTGAATCGTTTTTAAAATAGTTCAAATAAAGCAAAAGCTTTATTGTTTGTTTGTTTATTTATCCATACAGCCTCATGTATCCCAGGATAGTTTGAAACTGCCTCCACCTCCCAAGTGCCGGGTAACAGGCACAGACATCACACCCGCTTTATAAAGAGAAAACTCCTGAGCCCTCTTCCCCGTACCCTTGCCCACTATGTCTCTTACCCCAGAATCTTGGCACAATCATCATAATATTTCATCGAGTTCTTGACAAAGCTAAAGCCGTTGACGTCACACACAAAGGAGTGACCGTTGGCACGAAGAAGGTCAAATCCACAGACTGTTTGCTGCAAAAGCAAAACGGCAGAGTGAGTCAGCTCCCAAACCCTGCCCGTTTCTTCCCTTCATCCCACAGCCCCATGAGCCCTCTCTACCTTAAAAGCTACGCAGACTTTCCTGGCTACCAGCTTTTCCATGGCGGTCAGCATGACTGGATAGCGCACCTCTTTCCCCTCACTGTCCCGTTCAACCTTCCCATCCAAAGCTGGAGACTTTCTAGCTTCAGCATGGGCATAGTCAGGCCCCACTGTATACACCTGCGGGTACAGAGCACCACTGAGTATGCCCACAGCTCACCCTGTGTGTGAGAAGACAATATGAGCACTAGGTCTGTAGACTCTTCCACAATAAAAACCAACTCTGCCCAGTCAAGAGTGGTGGTACCCGCCTTCAGTCCCAGCACTCAGGAGGCAGAGGCAGGACTTCATGAGTTCAATGACAACCTGGTCTACACAGCAAGTCTTAAGTCAGCCAGAGCTACACAATAAGAACCTGTCTTAAAACAAAGACAAGACTAAAAACTCCTCCAAACGCTAAGAATACAAAGACTGGGTCAGGAAACGGTTCGGCAGGTAAAGATGCTGGCTGACAAGTCTGGTCTCCAGGATTCATATGGATGAAGGAGAGAAGTGACTCCCCCAAGTTGACCTCTGACTCCACATGCATGCGATGGTACACACACACACACACACACACACACACACACACATACACACACACACACACACACACAAATGTAATAAGACAATTTTTTAAAAAAAAAATACAGAGACTGAGACTGATATTTTTGAGCCTTATTCCAATGATCTTCCAAAGGTTTCTCCTTAGGACTCTGGCACTACTTTCTAGTCCTTATTAAACAATAATTTACCAATGCTTCACAATTTACTATGGTACCTTGCTCTCGCTCTGATAGGGAAATGAGAACGTCTGCATCTCACTTGCTATCGTCACTTGAATGTGAAGCCAGTTGAAATCGCATTTTGTTTTCTAAGATCCATACACACTGCCACTTGCCTCCCAAGCACCTCATTCCCACCCGGATGTTTGTAACATTTTAAATCTCTGTATCCACCATAACCTTAACATCTGTGCCATCTGTTGGCATAAACTCCTCATAGATGTATGATCCTGTCTTCCGGACGCTGCTCTCGGGAGAGTAAACACTGCTCCGACTGCCGATCTTGAGGAGGAAAGGAAAGGAGAACAACATTGCCTCCATCTCCAGGCTTTACCCACAGATCCCTTCTCTCTTCCCAACAGCCTCACTCCGTCCTTTACTCTCTGACTTCCCACATGCTCAGATGTCTCCCATACCTTACGAAAGAGGCGCTGGCTTCCTCCTCCAGCAGAGCTGGGGTAGTAGATATAGACATTGTGGTCCTCTGCACTCACTGGCTTCTCCACAAAGGGCTTGGGAAAGACAGCTCCATTGACCTCCACCTGGTCTTCACCTTCTATCAGGCTGCACTCTGAAAGATGGGCGTGGGAGTGTTCTTAGGAACTAAGGTTGGAGAGTATCTCCAACTCCTGTTTCCCTGAGGTTTTAATCTATACAACCTTCCACATTTTATGACCACGTCCTATAACAGATACGGCATTTAGATATGATAATATCTATATAAAAGTTCAACGGCTCTGTCTAAAGACCCACAACTCTACCTATAATCCAACTGTCAAAGGCCCCATACAGATATGTCTAGAACAGAAGTTTAAGGAACAAATACCGGTCTAAAATCATGGAAATCAAGGCAGTTACTCACCCTCAGGACAGGCGGGGTCGCGGTTGAGTACGGCATATCTTGGCAGATCAATACCCTCCTCCTGCAGGATCCGGTACACCTCCCTCCTGTCACCCCCCCCCCCAAATAAATTAGCCAGGTAGGAAAGGTGGGGATGACAAAGGGGAAAGGCTAGACATTTTATTTGCACAGGGAACTATAACTCAATATGAAATGGGACAAAAAATGAAGCATGTTTGCTTCACTGTGCCACCCCAGAGTAGGCTTCCTAAAGTGGGCATTTCACAGGGCCACCCACCCCTCTGGTCCACAGGAAGCTATACCTATCTTGGATGTAATACTGCATGGCCAGATCATTGATAAGGAAGGGGTTTCGAAGCTTGGAGTAAGCAACAGCTTTGTCCAGAGGAAAGCCTGCGAGGGAGAAAGAAATGGAGAGACCAAAGAAAGTCAAAGAGGCAGAGTGAGAAGCAGCAGGACAGACTGTGACCTGCTAGAGACAGCGGCTGCCACTGGGCTCCTCGGACACATCTAACCAAGCACTTAGCTGCCCAGTTCCTCAAGTTCGGGATAGTCATCAGGAAAATAAACACAATTACATGTAGGATCCTCCCAGAGATCCAAGTCTATAAGAGAAAGTAAGTGCCTTCACATCATCGTGTGTGGCTGGGATACAGGCTTTAACCTCCACCCAGCAAATCCTGAAACAGAAGGTAAACTCCCCTTCAATGCTCCCTTGTGTGTGGAGACGCTGACAGCCTCTTACTAAAGGGGTAAGAATTCCATCCCCAAACCAGCACCCCACGGCCGGCCTTCCCTCCCAGCCCCTAACCTTTGGAGTGGAAAGAAATGAGGCAGTGGCAGGATGGCCAGTTCTCCACGGGCTCGTTGAGGATGACGTCCTCTCCCAGGATGACGACAGTCAGGTAGTCAAACCTGCAGAGTCGCTCTAGGATCTGAGTCATCGGCTTGGACTTGGATTTCTTGGTCATGGCACAGATGCCAACAATAATTTGAGGTTCTGGAGGCTACAGAAAAGAAGTGCTCTCAGGAACTCCAGGTTCCCACATCTGTCACCTCCAACACTGCCACATCTTTCTAAGGCCTGCGGGATAAAGGACGCCCACTAGAGAAGAAGCCTGTAGGAAATGTGCTTCTTCAAAAGCAGCAGCGGTGACCAGAAGACAACAGGAGGAGGACGTTTGAGCAGGGGTTTCAGAGAGAGGCAACTGACCAATCTCTATGGCCCCTCCCCTAGTCAGGATAGAGCCTGTTTACAACAGGGAGTCTGTGCCTGCAAAGAACCGCTGTGTCCAAGCAGTGCAGTATCAGTTCTCTAGGGCAGGGGCCCAACACCAAGCTACATCGCTTTCCCTAGACTCACCACTTCATCCTCCTCGTCCTCAAGGAGCTCACTGTCACTCTCTTCCATCCTCATGCCTATTCCACAGGTGCCCAAGCCCTCATCTCCAGCTCCGAGGAAGAAGTGGGCCGCACTGCTCTCGTCCTCATTGGCCGTCAATGACCACATCCCCGCCGGAACACCCACTCATCCCGCTCTGCAGAAGTGAGTACCCCATCAGCTTAGAATCCAGCGCCCTTGCAGTGGGTAGGGATGGGGTACAGGGAACTAGACAATGAGAGGGAGCAATGATGGGGTACAAGAGGAACAAGAAAGAAAGCGATGGAAAGGACCCATAAGAAAGGAAACTGTACTGCAATTTGACATGACTAAAGAGAAGTAAGAGCACAGCAAGGACTCCTTTTCTTCCCTGTTTACCCCACCCCAGCCAAGAACTGGTAAGAGGATCAGGAGATTAAGCCTTACAGTGCTGGCATGTCCCTGATTCTGCCAGCAGGAAACAATGTTAACTCCAGGCAGCAAATAGAAGAAGCAGTTCTCCAAGGAAGGCTACTGTTGATTCCTACCAAGAGAAGGTTAGAGTGACATTTATTTCAAACACTGGATTCATTCCACAATGTCCCCAGCTCTCTCCACCTCCCCACAGTACCTCCCCAAGCACAGTCAAGGATTCGACTCAAGGGCAAAGGGATGCTCTGACCCCAAAGATCTGCCTTTAAACTCCACCCTCATTACTACCTGCTATTAGCTCAAGAAACATTTCTCCAGGACACCCTTCACGCTAAGCATTGTATCAGGACACTAACATCTCCTGTGCTTGCCCTTTCTCCTTCACCCACATCATCTGAAAAAAACAGATATCCAAATCCAGAGAATCAGTCCAAGCAGGGAAGTCTGGTGCTGACTGAGAGGCTGAGAGTAAACACTCACACAGCAGTTCTCAATCCGTTCAAACCACAATCTCCGTGGTCCATCCAGCCCTTTAGTACTGCAAGATCAACGCTAGCCTAAGACAAGGTCTGTTAGAGCAGCAGCTACACTGGAAAAAAAAAAAAAAAAAACGTCCTAAGGCCACACTGGTAAGAACATCTTATGAACTTGGATCAGAACAAGCTGGCAGTTCCACTCTACGTGCATATGCCTCGAGTGTTAATGGAAACTCCAAAGAGAATCCGTCAGGCAACATTCCTGGTTACTAGAACCACAAAGTGCCACACTGGTTTCTAGTAAGCAGAGGGCAGGAATGCCACAAGAAATTCTAAAATGTATATGCTAGGTCAACATCTATCCAGCCCAAACTGTTAGCAGCACAGAGGTGGATAGGCTGTAGTAAGACTCTCCTACCCACGTGGACACACCCAAGGACATTCTTCCCTCTCTATCTCATTGTTGCCTGGGGGAAAGCTAAGAACAATCCAGATGCCATAAGGAGAAGAATGGTAAACTCTGATGCAGTATATAGAAAAAAAAACCCAGATTTTAAAAACGAATGAGGGCCAGCAAGACAAATCAGATGGTGGTACTTGCTGCCAAGCCTAACAATCTTAGTTTGAACCCTAGGAGCTACCTGACGAGGATGAGGGTTGGAGGGGGAGGGAGACACTGATTTCCACAGGTTGTCCTCTGACCTCCACATGTGTGCTATGGATCCACAAACATACACACTATACATGTAAGCTATATGCAACAGTTTCCGAGTACAAATGCCCAAGATGAGCACGGAGCACAATCCACTTGCATAAATAAACACGTGCTATTCCCGACTGCAGATGCAGTTAGTACAGGCTCGTGGTTGGTTTGTTATTGTTGCTGATTGCCAGCATTTCTTTGATATGTATGGGTGTTCTACCTGCAGGTGTCTCTGTACACATTCGTGCTGGGAATGGAACCCGGGTCCCCTGAAAGAACAACCAGGGATCTTAATCACTAAGCCATCTTTCCAGCCCCCACTTAGTAGCCATTTAAAAGATTGAATCTGATAAACATTGTCTATCTGATTAAGTTAAAAGACATTATAAGAAAAATTAAAGTACTAATGCTTTCATTATTATGACAGTCATAAAATTACATATTTTAACAATGTTTTACAAAGACAATATTGTACCTTTATACATAGAAAATTGAAATCATATTTTATGCAACCATGTACAATGTTTATCAATGCCATCATCATTTTATTATCATTAAAAGTTCCATAATAAAATAAATAATCTGTAACTTAAATGTGGTACTTCAAATGCTACGATATTGTCATAGTATTCAATAATACTTACTGAGATTGCTTTTATTCATATAATTATGTTTATGAAAATTTAGTAAATACAACATAAAGAATGTACATCATTGTCATATAGATATTTATTTTATTATTATTAAACCACATGTTTAAATTGAAAAAAAAAAAAAAAAAGATTGACTCTGGGTGTGGTGGTGCACGCCTTCAGTACCTGAACTTGGGAGGCAGAAGCAGGGAGACTTCTGTGAGTTCAGGGCTGTCCTGGTCTACATTGTGAGTTCCAGGCCAGCCAGAACCACAGTGAGACCAGCCCCAAAACGAAACAAAATATATAATTTTTAAAATGGCATAATTTTTAAAATGGACTGAAAAGACATCCAATCTGTAACAGTAGTTACATTTGAAGAGAAGCAAGAATGGCGGCGAGTTTCCGACGATACCTATACAATCTTGCCTATAAATAAATGTCTATTTTCAAAACTCCAAAAGATCCGAAGCTTATACACACAAGGCTAACATTTGCTAATAATGAATTGTAAGGGTATGAGCAATCATTATTATTTTCCAAAAATAAAATGGAGTCACTCAACAGAAATTTTCCATGTTCCATAGAAGTTCTCAGAAACACTGCCAGCCCCAATGAAGCCAAGAACTCCTTTTGCGAATTAGTTAACGTACAGCGTTTTAAAGGCTTCCATAATTCCTCTCTCCATTTTAATTTTAAAATCTGCCATTACAACGAGGGTTGCAGCTTTGATTAGAAAATTATAGATTTCTATAGACCTTGGCCATCTCGGCCTCCCCATGTCATGCTTCTATTGCTCAACCACAGACAGAACATTCTGCAGACACCACTCCTCCTGACTGACAGACCGTCTCTTTGAATTCCCTGTAAGTGACCTAACCGTGGCATTCCCAAAGATACCTCACAACTTCCCCAATTAGAATTTCATCACATTCTTTGTGCCTTTTCTGAACCAGGAGCTCTCCCCACGTCTAAGATTCCTTCTCTACTTGCCCTTTAAGTCTTCCCTGTTTGTTTGGGTTTTTTTGTTTGTTTGTTTGTATGTTTGTTTTTAAACAATATCCAGCCATGCTCGTGGAATTCTACTAGAACCCTGTGATGGGAGACAATAGGATGGAGAAGTCTGTTCACAAACACAGACTGAAAGAAGATGAAGGTCCAAATTCATAGTTAACAAAGCAAACATAGAAGCCTGGCAGGAATAGCTATGACAAAGCCAGGCTTTATTTGGATGTACTTCTGGGAGAGGCTGGGGTTTTAATGTGGTGTTCCCAAAAAAACACTTTCCTGTTTGATGTGCTCTTTCCCCTTCATGTTCTCCCCAAACTTCGTTGCATAAGAAAGCGACAGAGTCTACACCAGGCTAAAGGGCAGTCTTGCTTTGGAAGGGAGGGAAGGGGTTGGAGGAAACAAGAAGGCAATCTAAGGAGCACCAACGCTAAATTAGATCTGGAGAGGGCTAGGGCAACAGCCAACCGCAACTTCTTCAGCTCCTAGAGTGGAGGGCAGTCTGCGTGAATCCATTTCTTGGCATCACCTTGCATTTGATAGAGGCTCCAACAATAGTAAAAGGAAACCAACACAGAAACTCCTCACTCCACCACCAATATGGAATTTTCTCACCTTCAAAAGTGAAGTCCCGCCCCATGCCTCCCTGCCTACTCTTCCCCCATTGTTTGGAGGCAGTGTCTCACTCTGTAACTCAGGCTGGCCTCAAACTCAAGGCGGGCGATAGTCCTCCCTCAGTCTCCCAAGTGTTGGGATCAGTGGCGTGGGCCTCTCTGCCTGCTTCCCACTTCCTTCCGCAGGCGAGTTGAATGTTTCTGACATATTCCTTATTCTGATACCAGTCTTCCATCTGCTGCCGGCCGGTCTCAGTGTAGCTCACTCATTCCGCCTTCTCTCCCCAATCTGTGATAACGGCTCTTCACTGACTCCCCTTACCTTACTCCCCACACTGACTGCTGCACCCCAATCACTGTTCAATTAATGCAATGAATCCAGCCAATTCTCCCACTCAGGGACTCCCAGAAGTAAACAACACTTCAAACCTGCACATGAGTCATCACACTGGCTAACACTTTTTTTTTTTTTTTTGAGACAGGCTCTGTGTAGCACAGGATAGCCTTGAACTTAGAATCTTCCTGCCTCAGCCTCCAGGGTATACTGGGTAGCATCATTCCCTTAATGACGAACACTTAATGGCCCCCTACAGCGAGGATCCCCTATAATGAGAGCTCCCTTCCTCCGACTAGCCCTTCTGGAGGCTCACCTCTCCACAGTAATCCATTCCTCAGCAGACCTTCTCCCCTGGCCAGCCAGTCCCTTCCCTCACTCCGCCAGCTTCCAGCGCCCGCTGGTCCTCCCTTCCCTCGGCTTCTGGCGCACGACCCTTTACCTCGCTCCCCTCCCCTGCGATCCAGCCCTGCCCCTCCTCCCAGACTCCCCCAGCCCTGTCCCTGAAAGCCTTCCATCTTCCCGGGGGTCCCCTTATGCCTCCTGCAGACCCCTCCACACCAGTCTCTTCTCCCACTGACCCGCTCGGTCGTCCTCTCTCTCAAGGCGTCGGGTCACGAATCCCGCCCTCCCATCCTGACCGCACTCGCCTCTGCCCGCCCCCGCCGTCCCCGCCTCGCTCTCCCTAGGCTGACATTGAGGCCTGCGGGCTGCGGCTGCGCCTCCCTCGGAAGCTGTCCCCACCCGGGACTACCCACGGCCTCGGGCGCAGGCCGAGCCCCTCGCCGAGCCCACCCTCCCCGATACCGCCCCCAGCCCCAGCCACTCCCCCACCGCCCCCGGCCCGCACTCACCCGCCTCCCTCCGCTCGCGCAGCCGAACCTGCAGGCAGCGACACCTGACAGCGGCCCAATCAAAGCGCGACTTCTTTGCGGTCCCGCCAATCCGCGGAGGGCGCGCACCGGCAACAGTCAGGCTGCGTTGGCCGGAGCTTCAGAGTGGAGGAGGGTGGCTCCTCGTGGCTGCCTGGGGAACTGCAGCCTTATGCTCCTCTGCCGCTTTATTTCCTACTGCGTCGCCAGTCCACAGCCTAGGCAGTGAGGTTAACCACTGATACCAATGGGAGGAAAAAAGACTGAGATAAACGAAGAAGAGGCAAAGTTTGTGACATTGCACCTCCATGAGGGCAAAAACCGAGTCTTTTTTTTTCTGTAAAGCAAATCCAGGTATAATATAGGTAGACATAAGGCGAGAAGGTGGAAAGAGAAAAGGTAGGGACGCTGAAGACAGAAACAGATGGGAAAAGTTAAGGGGAGGAACAAAGAGACTGACCTGTGAAAGATATAAGTAAATGGTAGACTTGAGAAACCGAGTAAACCGCTTTCTGTCTCTACGCTCTGCTTCTTCCCTATTCTCCAGCCTTGGAATCTGAACAGCTGGCTTTGAATCCTACTCTTAACTGTGTAGCTTTGGCGCATGCCTTTAATTCCAGCACTAGGAGGCAGAGGCAGGCGGATCTCTGTGAGTTTGAGGCCTGCATGCATGGTCTACAGAGCAAGTTCAGGACAGTCAGGGCTGTTTCACAGAGAAACCCTGTCTCGAAAAACAAAAACAGGGGCTGAGAGGCTGCCTGCTCTTCCAGAGGACCCGGGTTCAATTCCCAGCACCCATGTGGCAGCTCACAACTGTCTGAAGATCCAGTTGCAGGGGATCTGACACCTTCACACCAATGCATATAAAATAAAGTTACATAGAAAAAACAAACAAACACAGACAAAAATAACTAGCTTTGGGAAATTCGCTTTTCTTCCTGGAGCCTCCACTGTACTTGTTTGTAAGGGTGGAACTACGCACCTACAAATGCTGCTCCTTCCGACAGTCCATGGGGAAAGGGATTTGTTTTGACTCAGGGTTTCAGAAATTTTGATCCTTAGCGCCATTGCTTTGGCCATGAGAGCGGCAGAACTTAAGGGTGGTTTGGTAAAAGGCATTTGCTTGTTGGCTAATAGAAAGCAGAGAGGGAGGAAGGGGCAGAGGACAAGATGAGTTGTCCGAGGCATGCCACAGGGACAAACTCTCTCCAACTAGGCCCTACATCCTCCCTTTCACCATGTTCCAATAATGTCGTCACGTTATGAATATATCAAGGGATAAATGTATTGATTAGACCAGAGCCCTCAGAATACAATCATTTCCCAAATGTCCAACAGCTGAAAAACAAGTTCCAACACATGCGCCCATAAAGGACATTTCTTGTCTGAACGGGACAGATACGATCATACGAAAGCATGTTCTTTATGTATATTGTTGTCCTTAGATCTTCATTTAGGCTTCCCTGGTCAGGAGTTTGCAATTCTCCATTTGTTCTCTGTAACTTTAGGGACCTCACAACTTTCCTAGTTATATGCCTTAACTTACTGACCCCCTACCGGTACCTCAAGGCCTGCTGAGTGGCTAGAGATGATTCTAAGGACAGGATCTACAAATAACCAGTGATAGTTAATGTTCAGACTCATACCCTCTTCTGCAACTCCAACCATTGGAGCAAGTAATTACAGCATCTCCCAAGTGTAAAAATTCACCCATTCCACAGAAAATACTCCGTATGTTAGAATGATCTAATTCTCAATGAAATAACTTACACTTATAAAGGTTCTTTGTAAGTGTAGGGTTTTGTGGGGTTGTTTTTTGTTTTGTTTTGTTTTTTTTGTTTGTTTGTTTGAGATATAATTTTATTGTGTAGCCTTGGATGTCCTGGAACTCATTCTGTAGACCAAGTTAGCTTTGAACTCACAGAGATCTGCCTGGCTCTGCCTTCCGAGTGCTGGGATGAAAGGCACATGCCACTGCCACCTCTCAGTTTCCTTGTAATTGTATAGTGCTTTAAAGCAATAAATATTCGTAATGATAATTATTTTTTTAGTAATGATAACTATTAACAAATAAATAAACTACTATATATATAGAGAGATAACTACTTCCCATATGCAAGAGAACTTTTTTTGCATGTGTGTGTGTGTTTTTGGGGTTTTGTTTTGTTTTTTAGTTTCTTTGGTTTTTCAAGGCAGAATTTCTCTGTGTAGCTTTGGAGCCTGTCCTGGAATTCACTCTGTAGACCAGGTTGGCCTCAAACTCACAGAGATCTGCCTGCCTCTGCCACCTGAGTGCTGGCATTAAAGGTGTATGCCCCCACCACCTGGCTTGTGTAGGTGTTTTGCCTGCATGTTTGTGTACCTGATGCCCAGAGAACAGAAGAGAACATCGGATCCCTTGGAACTGAAGTTATAGACAGTTGACCATCACCATGTGGTTGCCCAGAACTGAACTCAAGTCCTCTGAAAGAGCCGCCACGGAGCCATCTCTCCAGTTCCATGAGGTAATTTTTTTTTTAAATAATTGACAACACATCAGATACCTGACAGGGTCTCACAAAGAATAAAGAAAGTACACGAATATGTGACTTCTCAGCGGAGCTATTATTTCACGAAGGAAGGCATTTTCCGAACTTGAATGACTTGCTGTCTACTCTAGCTGTCTTTGTTCCCCTTCTGCTAGTCTCTCTTCCCACTCCCCCACTCCCAACACTTTCTCAGCCAAATAACAGCCCCATGGCTCTGGAAGATTACCTCCTTCTTTTATCTGGGTAAATACACACCGTCCCAAGTAATTATATTTACTTACTCATACCTGCCCCTCTACCTAGATAATGAGCGCCCACGGCAGAGGTAACATTTTTTTGACTCTCCAAAAGTGAGCAAGCCCCGACACTAGATTCCAAACTATTCTCTGAGAATTGTATTTTATCAAGAGAAGTGGTTCAAGGAATGGAGCCCCCAAAAAGAAGTGTTTCGCTTCTAAGGATACCCACAAATAATGAAAGTCAAAAGGAGACATGGTGGGGGGGGACTTGAGGGTAATAAGGAAATGTGTATTTGTGGGGCCAGTGGGGACTGTGAAGGGTAATTCTGAAAGACCCCCGGTGTGGGGAGACACTCACTCAAGTCTCGGGATAACACGTCCCCCCCCCCCCGTAACTCACTAGAGACTGTCCTTGATGCAATCACATGAGGTTTAATCGACAAGATGGGGACCAGTGCACTGGGGCTGAGACTCATAAACCCACGCAGGGGAGGAGTTCGACCCCGAGTAACTGGGAGAGGGGGTTTTTTAAGGGAGAAACCACAGCCCAGTAATCTGAAAGGGGTAGGGAGGGCATCATAGAAAATTCTGAGTGCCAGTGATGATCACAAGGGGGCAACTCCCTGTTTCTCAAGATTATACTCAAGATTACAATCTAACTTTATCTTCAACTAGCTCCTGAAACTGAACCAGCTAATCCTAGATTTCTGATTCTTTTCTCCCCGCTTAATTTTTTACTCTATTTTTTCCTGCTAGGAGGGTCTGGATTTATCCAGGTCTTTCAATTCTTTTTTCCAAAGATTCATAAGATTTCCAAATATCAAGCGGGGTGATGGTAGCACACACCCACCTTTAATCCCAGCACTTGGGAGGCAGAGGCAGGATCTCTGTGAGTTTGAGGCCAGCCTGCTCTACAGAGCTAGTTCCAGGACGGGCTTGATAGCTACAGTGAAACCCTGTCTCAGAAAAAAAAGAAAAGAAAAGAAAAAGAAAAAAAGATTTCCAAATATCTTACTGTCTTTTGGAACATCAGGAAGCTTAAGGAAGAGATACTAATGCCAATATGTCTCCTCTGCCTTGGCTGGCCCTCCACACCAAGGCTTGGGTCCCTATCTCAGATCCGGCTTTTATTCAGTCCCCTTCCTGATATAATAAAAGTCAAGTTGCACCTAGTCCCACTTCTAGTGTGGAAACAATCCTTTTGAGTCTGAATGTGCACTTCACAGAAGAGAGAAGGGACCAGGAAAAAGGCACAGATTTCTTGATGACCTTCTGCCCTTGGACGCCACCAACCTTTTCTCTCCAGATTAAACCGTGTTGAGAGCCAAGAGAGGAAATCCAGGTGGTTCCGGAGACCTGTGCCTGCCTGTTCCATTCCACACCCAATCATCTCACCACACCCTCCTCCTTCTCTCTTTAAATTCCCCTCCAGTTCAGGATCTGCCAGCTGCAGAGGAGGGAGAGAAGGAAGAGGAAACTCACCATTCCCTGCCCAGCCCCAGCCCCACGCCCAGAGCAATCAACAGGTAGGCAAGCTTCAGACAGGACTCCAGAGTCCTGTGAACAGCAGACACGTTTGAGCCTAGAATCGAGGAAGAAAAAAAAGATCAAAGGTGAAGTAGGGGAGAGTAGGGGAGGACATTTAAAAAAAAGGGTAGGGCCCCATGAGAAATGGAGGCAGGAGATTTGGGGGCAGTGTGGATGAGGGGAGACATCACATGGAATAAAGCTAATAGGTTCCTGATTCTTCTCAAGCCTTTCTCGGCTTGTTAGGAAAGTAAGGTATGGGTGTAGCAGGGAGTTCCGCTTCCTCTTCCCGGTTCCTAGGAAAAGGTGACCTTGAGGCAGGCAGCCAGCGGCGTCTGTTCTGCTTGCTCTCAGTCTTCCTCTTCTATCTGTTTATTTTGTGGTTTTCCTGTGGCTGCCTCTCCTGGGAAAAATGGGGAGATTGCGTGCAGATCGAATTCAGAGAAGAGACTGGTCAATGTCATCTCCCCCCCCCCAATACCCACAAAATAGGCAAAATTGGGTTTCGGATTAAACAGAGGGTGCACGGGAGAAGGGGGTTTCAAATTCGGCAACCCCGTGGTGCTGTCCTCCACTTGGTGCTGAAATCTGACTGCCCTCATTCTTGGTGGGCGCTATGTCCCCAACCTCATCGAGTGAGTCTTCAGCCTCCCTAATTACCTGGCTGGTGCTACCCAACCCCACCCCCGCACACCTAGCGCGGTGGCAGGAGGGAAGGCGGAGCCTGAGTGAGCCCCACCCCTGGAGACTGCGGCTGGGGCCTCCCTCTGCTCTGGCTGGCCGCTTTCTCGCCGCGCTTCTCCTGCAGCCTGGTTGGCACTGGCTGCCACTTTAGCTTCAGCCTTCATCGTGACCCCTATTTTGGCTTCAGCCTCGGACCCAGCTCAGGCTCTCTCTCTCTCTACTCGGTTGCATCCTCCCTCCCAGTTCCAGACTTGCTACAGATCCTGCTCCGAATCCAGTAGCCGCATCCCTAAACCATGGCTGGTCCCTTCTCACGTCTGCTGTCTGCCCGCCCCGGACTTAGACTTCTGGCTTTGGCTGGAGCTGGGTCTCTCGCCGCTGGGATTCTGCTCCGCCCGGAATCTGTACGAGCCGCCAGTGAACGGAGACTGTATCCCCCAAGGTATCAGTGCCTGAGACGCACGAGGTGGGGGCTGGGGGTGGTGGTGGTGATGGGAACCGAAGGGCTAGAAAGGATGTCTTGAGCAATAGACAGGGCCCCCGAAGATGGATTTCTGTACAGTTTGGAGATCCCAGCCGTATAGGAGGAGTAGGGCCAAATTCGTAAGGCAAGAACATGTCTAAGAACCTGTCACCCGATGTCCCTGCCTCCAAGCCAGCTTTGGCCTGCAAAGACGAGGTTCACCCACTAACCAAATCCCTTATTGCATGACTAAAAACTACCTTTTCCCCATCTCGACCTATTCTCCTTGTTCTCCTTAATTCTCCCGAGTCTTTCCCCTCCCCCACCCCTAATGCTGTGCTCACTAGAGAAAAGGAACTGTGTATAGGTCTGGGGGAATTGAGGCAGACACAGGCATCTAGAACTATGAGGGAGAAAAAAAAAAGACCCCGGAAATCCCCAAAAAAGATTATCAATATTTAGCCTACCTCTAATCCCCCTCCTTCCAAGGAGCAAAGCCAGACAGGGCTCACTGGACAGCTCCCCGCTGACACCAGTAGGTCTAGTCTCCTGTGCCCTCCCTCCATGATTACTGGGTACCCCCTTCCCAGCGCTGAGTACCCAGACCTCCGAAAGCACAACAACTGCATGGCCAGTCACCTGACCCCAGCAGTCTATGCACGGCTCTGCGACAAGACCACACCCACTGGTTGGACTCTAGATCAGTGCATCCAGACTGGCGTGGACAACCCTGGCCACCCCTTCATCAAGACTGTGGGCATGGTGGCTGGAGATGAGGAGTCCTACGAGGTAGGGGGCCCCCAGAGTCTCCCTGGTGACCCAAGCCACCTTCCCAGAAATCCCAGTTCCTTCCCCCTGGAGATCCCTCGTGTCTGTTCCCTCAAGACTCTGGACTGCCTGTACTCACATTTCTGACCCAGTGAAATCGATCTACAGTTGAAGCCCAGGAAGGAGTTCCTCTTTATAACCACCTCTCCCTCTTCACTCCCTACCAGGTATTTGCTGAACTCTTTGACCCTGTGATCCAGGAGCGACACAACGGATATGACCCCCGAACAATGAAGCACACCACTGACCTTGATGCCAGTAAAGTGAGCCAACTCTGACACCTGCGATTTGTGCGGCCTGTGCACAGTGTTCTGTATCGCTAATCGTTACACCGTGCTTCCTGACTCACGGTTATACTGCTAAGCTTTCGATAGTGATAAGAGAAAGAAGTAGCTATCTTGGAGACTAGCAGATATGAAGACAGCGGATAAGAGGGACTGTGTCAGGATAATGGGGTTGGGGAGAATATGATCAAAGTACACTTCGTGTATGAAATTGTGAAAGAATATTCTTTAAAAAGTGACGATGCCTTGGCTGGGTGTGGTGGCTCACACCTGTAATCTCAGTTCTCGGGAGGCTCAGGAGAGACCCCCCCTCAAAAGGCTGTAACCAAAGTGGGAAGTTTGGAGAAATGGTCACAATGTCCTCTTCAGTTGCCTGTCCAGTGTGTCCTCCCTTCCAGTGCGTGCTTTATAGTCCCTAAGAGCTTTCACCTGTTGTGTGACTGTGACTTCTCCGTTTCTCTGACTCCTCAGATCCGTTCTGGCTACTTTGACGAGAGGTACGTATTGTCCTCAAGAGTCAGAACTGGCCGAAGCATCAGGGGACTCAGTCTGCCTCCAGCCTGCACGCGGGCAGAGCGACGAGAGGTAGAACGTGTGGTGGTGGACGCACTGAGCGGCCTGAAGGGTGACCTGGCTGGACGATACTATCGGCTCAGTGAGATGACGGAGGCTGAGCAGCAACAGCTTATAGACGTGAGGGGCCCTGAGAGGGAACTGGGTTATGGGAGCAGTTGCTGGGAAAGGGTCAGAGGGGAGGCTGGGCCAGATAAGACAGACGGATTTTGAGAGGCCCAGACAATACTGTGATAATTCTTAAGTCTAATCCCTTTATTCTCCTCAGGACCATTTTCTGTTTGATAAGCCTGTGTCCCCATTGTTGACCGCAGCAGGAATGGCTCGAGACTGGCCAGATGCCCGGGGAATCTGGTATGAGGCTGATCCACCTTTTTTGTTTCTCTTGTGTGTGTGAGATACACACACGTGTGTGCACACGCGCATGCGCAAACACACACACACACTTGTCCCCCAGTTCTTGTCTTGATCCCTTTACCTCCTGCCCCCAGGCACAACAATGAGAAGAGTTTCTTGATCTGGGTGAACGAGGAGGACCACACGCGGGTCATCTCGATGGAGAAAGGAGGCAACATGAAGAGAGTGTTTGAAAGATTCTGCCGGGGCCTCAAAGAGGTTGGAGAAGGCTGTGCAAGGGAGCTAAGTGGGAGGAAATGAGAAAACCCAAGAGCAGCATAGGCAGATTGGCTATATCCTTTGTCAACCAACCCAGGGTATTTCTGATAATAGAAAAGGTTAATCATTAACCACGTGAGGACAATAGTTAGAAATAGGATCATCCTTGGAAAACCAGGGCGTCTAATACTCCTGAAATAGGAAGAATGTCAGTCACCTAAGGAAGGAGAGAAAGCATAGTCTTTGCCAAGTAATGCAAAGAAGGAACCAATGATATGACAAACCGGTGCTGGGGCGGGTGGTGTGAGGTAGGATGTGCAGCTAAGGAGAACGTTTGAGCCTGGGTTGATGTAGGGGGTGAGAGATTGGTATGTTTATGATACATCACGCAGTTCTGAGCCAAGGTGGGCCTCGACTCTGGATTCTGTCTATCACTGTAGCTCGGCTTTGAGCTGAGAAGGGAGACAGACTAGGGAAAGTGGAGGCTGAAATGGCTTCTGTTCCACAATGTATGGTTCTAGATGAGAGGTGAGTTTGTGTCTTATATGGGTTGGGTCTCTATAGTTAATTCTGTGTTAGAAGCTGCCATAGATCTAATCCTTATATATCCTTGTATCTACAGTTCTATTTTTGGACTTGTAAAGAAAGAGAGCTTCCCTTTTAGATTCTAGCTGGGAAGCTTACACTATTTTTGGCAAGGGATGGATAATGTTTTATGAGTGGGTAGAGAAATACTCTTTAATTATATGACTCAGTTTCCTCATCTATAAAGTTGAGATAATAAGATTGCTTATATTTTAGGTTGTGAGGATGAAATGACATAATGCAGGCAAAATAATTGTCCTGCAATAAGTGTTAGCTTCAGCATGTTTAGCTTCAGGCTTATGATTCCTTGTGAGCTGTGGGGTGTCATCTTTACTTATCCTGGGTAGTGGTCTTTGTATCTATCCTGGAAGACCCCAGTCTCTTCAATTCTAATGGTAGTTAGGCTGGTCAAGAAAAACAGGGACCCCTTTTGTACCCCCCTCATTTTCACACATGTACCTATGGATCTGGCTTCTTTGTTCTACTTTCTTTTTTCTTTTTTTGGTTTTTTGAGACAGGGTTTCTCTGTGGTCTTGGAGCCTGTCCTGGAACTAGCTCTTGTAGACCAGGCTGGTCTCGAACTCACAGAGATCTGCCTACCTCTGCCTCCCGAGTGCTGGGATTAAAGGCGTTTGTTCTACTTTCTTATTTCTCTCTATTACACGTGCTCCTTCTCCAGCTAAGAGTAGGCTCTCCTGCCTCTCTTATCCTCCCCTTTCTGTCCGAAGGGACCCTCTGCTCTTTGTTAAAGAGATAATTGATGTAAGAAGAACTCGTGGAACAATCAGCCATTTCTCTGTTCTGTCTACCACTTCCGGTCATTTCATAGGTCACCCTTAATGTATTCATTGTTCCCTCAAGTTTCTTCCACAAACAATCTATTCATCCACAATCTTACCACTATGCATACAATGCAATATCAAAGTTACCTTTCATGTGTGATGACAATGATTTTTAACAACAAAGAGCATGTCATTCATTCATCCTCAAGCTTCCTGTTGGAGACATATTTCTAGAGTGTTTGTAGGGCTAACTACGAGGGGTATGTCCGTCCCTGATTTTCTCACAACAGAACCTCTGTTGGCACAGGTGGAGAGGCTGATCCAGGAACGAGGCTGGGAGTTCATGTGGAATGAACGTTTGGGATACATCCTGACCTGTCCATCTAACCTGGGCACTGGACTTCGGGCAGGAGTGCACATCAAACTGCCCCTGCTAAGCAAAGTAAAGGAAATGTGGGGTTAGAGAGGGGTGTAGGTGAGAAGTGGGGTTTGATGAGGAGGGAGGAGGCACCCTAGAAGGAACCAGTCATATCATATCATGGCTAAAGGACAAGGGCAAGGTAGGAACAGCCCCTGCCTCTATTGACCTGCCCTGATTTCCATCTTGCCTATAGGATAACCGTTTCCCAAAGATCTTGGAGAACTTAAGACTCCAAAAGCGCGGAACAGGAGGCGTGGACACCGCTGCCACAGGCAGTGTCTTTGACATCTCTAATCTGGACCGACTTGGCAAGTCAGAGGTGAGGTCTTATGAATTAGGTTGAGGAATTGCGATGAGACAGTGAGTGAGCCTTAGGAATGTAATAAAATCTGAAATAAAGTTCAGGTTGAGTGGGGGAGGGAAGAGAAAAAAAATGTGTTTTCAGAGATACAAGATCAGAAAGAGAGAGAAAGAAACTAAGAAAGAAACTCAGGCCAGGCAAGGTGGCTCAGGCTTTTGAGACCAGCAGAGGCAGGGAGATCTCCCGAGAATCCCAGGCCAGCCTGGTCTCCACAGCAAGTTCCAGGCCAGCCAGGGTTACATAGCGAGATCCTGTCTGTAAATAAATAAAAAGAAGAGACAAAGAAGCTCAGATAGATTGCGGGACGTAGAGATCAAGGAGGAGTGTCCTGCAGGTGGAGCTGGTGCAGCTGGTCATCGACGGAGTAAACTATTTGATTGACTGTGAACGGCGTCTGGAGAGAGGACAGGATATTCGGATCCCCGCACCTCTTGTCCATGGCAAACATTAACTCCCCATCCCCAGCAAATGAATCAAGCATATTTAATGGTGGCCTGTTCTACTTGCCCCTCACTCCCTGTCCTAGTAAAGATTCCATATTATGTCCCAGCTGTCTGTGTTCTTTCTGTTGGGGTGGTGAGGAGGAAGCAGGAAGTGAAAACAGAGTGGGGTCGTTCATGTTGGCAGGAACCACATATGCCGGGAGCGCTGCTTCTCAGGTGGGCGGTGGAGCGCAGCACCCATGTCCCTCCTGAGAAGAATTAGAACACACTGCCATTCACAATATGTTCAGTATGGTGAAAGCTTTCTCCCTCAACTGAAGGAACAGTATCATAACAGGAAGCCAACAAAGCTGAGGGTCAGTGCCAGGGCCCAGGAGGATTGGAACCAGTCATAGAGGCCCCAGGCTGAGCTTCGACCTGTAACGAGACAAGAAATGGGAAGAATATCACGGTCTGTTCCCCAGGAGCCTTTGATGCTGCAGAACAAGCTCTCTGTGTATAGAGCCCTCGACTCCAGAGACTGTCCTGTGTGGGCGGAGGGCCAGACAGCACCAGTTAGGACTTGGACTCTGGGTCAGATGACAGCTTCTCACACTGGGCAGTCGGTCACTTACCCCATTGTTCCGGGATCTCCTTCCCTTCGTGCTGGGCCCAGGCAATTGCTTGTCGCTGCTCAGGACTCAGATAGGCCATTTGCTCAGGTGTGACAGCTACAGCCTGGACACTAGTGAGACTAGACAGCTGGGTGGGGTTGAATACCACCTAGCCAGAGGCAAGGACAGGAGTCAGTACACCCATGGAACCCCGTTGGGACCCAACTCTCCCTCTGAGAACTCTAGGTCCCAGTCCACCAAAACTTACTGCAAACTTGGGAGCAGGGATGACAGAAATGGCAAGAGGAGTCAGGCCCTGGATCTGGTCCCGCAGTAATGCTGAAAGAGCCAGGTCCGGGATGCCAGCTGGTGAAGGAAGCAGAACACATCTCACTATCACAATCCACCCACGACGTAGTAACGAAACCCTGACCACTCGTGACAATCAGTGGCCCAGCTTCCCCACCTGCTATTGTGCCAATTTCAGTGAAGATCTCAGGTCCCCAGTTACTGACTGGGCCAAAGCCGCCAGGCAGCACAAGGAGATAGGCAAGAACTTCTAGCTGTTCCTCAGAGCATGGGAGATGCAGGTTGCCCAGGAAGAGAGCTGCTTGGCTGTGGAACAGTCAGAAGAAAGGGAGGAGAATTCAACTTCGACGATGGAGGAAGAGATGAATTCAAAGGGACTCCCTTCCTTCACGGGCCCACCCCTTTGAGAGCCCGTCTCCACCACAGCACCGCCACCCCAAACCTTCCATAGGTAACCTAAACTCCCAGCTGCTGATGTGCAGTAACTCCTCTGGCCGCAGGCCGCAGAGAGTGTGGCCCAGCGCTGTCAGATAAATGAAGTCCAGGTGGCTCACACGCCGACCACTCTGCCGCAGGAAACTGGAGACCACGGCGCGGAGCTGGTAGGGCACAAGATAAAGAGATAAATCATGGGGAATTAACGGACGGGAAAATGACGAAGGGAGTGGAAGGGCTACTGGACTATATTGACTTGTTCTAACCATCAAAAGATCCTATAGCCGTGGAGGAAAATCAAGGTAACATCCTTGTCCTCCCTCACAAAGATACTAGGAGGAGAAAGGGGCTAACGGATACAATGTATCCAGGACCTCAGAGAACAAATCACAGAGCTCCTAAAGTCACTAATATAGAGCATTAAGAAAGAGAAAGCTGAATGTGGTGACACACTTGCAATCCCAGAATCTGGGAGACAGAGGCAGGAGGATCAGAAGCTCAAGGCTATCCTCAGCTCTGGAAGGGGTCAAGACCAGGGTGGGCGACATAAGAAGACCCTGTCTACAAAAACAAAACAACCGAAATCAAGAAAAGATAGAAAGAATGGCCTGAAAGTATCTCAGGAGAAAATCCCTTGGGCTTTTGCTAACTTAGAGGACGAGGTCTACAGGATGGATGTCTGGGGCAAGGCGAAGAAGGTGTTACCTGGACAGAGCTCCAGCCGTCTATTTGCCCCAGACTGCTGAGCACACCCCAGTCCACCAGCGTAAGCTCTTGCAGCTCCCGCTCTCCCAGACCTCTCAGGAGCTGGCCCAGCTGCAAGATCTGCTCAGGACGGAATCCACGAGGGGCGCCCCACAACTAGGAGGAAGACAGGGACGATGTGAGTAGAAAAAGAACCAGACTGGGAGTCAAACACAGGGTCTTGGACTTTAGCTGTGGGACACTGGTCCGATCGCGCTGTCTTGTTCTCAATTTCCACAACAGAGAAATGAGAGTTTCTCTAGTTTAGGGGTTACTGAGAGGCTGGATTCTCCATTCTAGTTGAGAGCAAGCTCTAGGCCACAAGTTCTAAACTCTATACGTACAAGACCCCTTGAGGTACCTGCTAAAGTGCAGATCCCAGATCCAAACTCCCGAGATTCTTAGTCCAGCATGGGACCCAGCAATTGCCTTTTAAGAACCTGCTCCCTGGGCACTTTTGATAGACATTCAGTTAGGCCCTCTGTCTATATTGCACTACTCTTTCTTCAGTATTGACCCCCCTGACTTTCCACTTAGAATCCAAACCTCTAGCTTTCACCTTCAGCTTCCCCACCTCTTACCCGAGTCTCCATCCCCTTTCTCATATCACACTCAACTTCCTCCTGTTTTTAATCCCTCTGGCCCTATTAGCCTCTCCTTCCCTAACCTGCTTGGCCTTGCCCATGGCTGCCTGCAGTTCCTCGGGACCAAGTCCTGGATCTCCAGCAAACAGTGACAGACAGTCCTCAAAGTCTGCGAGTTCCATCTCCGCGATCTGTGTGGCAGACCAGGCTGCTGGGAAGGTGCCCCGTATGTCTGCACAGCTTGGTATGGGTTCTGAAGGCAGAAGGCAGAAACCAAGGGTCAGTCTAATACTAAATGATGCCTCCAGTGATACCTGCAGATTGTTTAGCCTTTGGAGGACAGAGCAGTGTGAACAGCATGGGTTAGGGGACGATGACAGTGAGAAATACAGGGCTCAAGGGGCATTTGAACAGAAGCGACTGGTTATCACGAGGCCATTCTTTGTTAAGTGGAAGACAGAGGAGATTGCTCAGGTGTTTAATGAGAGCTGAATTAGAACCCAGGTCTCTAGCCTCATGATGTCTCCTTCTGTCTAGGGATTTTTCCCAGCAGAGAGCGCCACACTTTGCCCGTCAGAGGGAACAAGAAAAATTGTTTTGTTTTGAGACAGTGTCTCCTGTAGTCCAGGTTGGTCTTAAAATCTGCTACGTAGTTAAGGCTGACCTTGAATTCCTGATCATCCTGACTCCACTCCCAAGGGTTTGGGTGACAGGTGTGTATACCACCACACCTGACTTTAAACATTTAATGGGTTATAAACTCCCAGGATTATAGACCCTGACAACTAGAAGAGACCTTGAATATCATCGTCTAACCCTTGTGCTTTACTGATGATCAAAACTCAGGGAGCAGAAAAACTGCTCGGAAGGTCCAGCACACCTAGAACCCAGCCTCCCACCCCGCTGTGGTGTCCGTGAGGGAACCCAGGGCCTTGTACATAGCAGCCGAAGCTCAGCCACCCACAGCCACCCATCCAGGCTTCCAGTTGCGTTGTTTGCCTTGCCGCCTTCTCCCACATGCCCTGCTGGAGGACTTGGGAGCTTCACCTTGGAGACCCTCGGCAGCCGGCTGCACAAGTCCAGCTACTAGAGCTGCTTTCTTGTTGGTAAGCTTGGGTCCCCCACACAGATGACCCACTCTGCTCTGCTCCCAGCTCTGCTGCTTTTCCAGAAGCCGCTCTAGGGTCTCTGGGCCCAAAGCCTCCTGCAAGAGAGAGTAGGGGGAAGGAAAGGCAATCTGGCAGTCAGGGCCAGGAGCTATAGTTTCAAGATCCTCGCATCAGGGCTTGGGGCTCAGGACTGGAGATGCTGAAGCAGGGATGCCACGAATTTTAAGCCCACCTGGGCTACAGACTGAGTTTAGGCCTGCCTGACTGTCTCAGAAAACCAACCAACCAAACAAACAAAAAAAAAAACCAAACAAACAAAATGGAAAACCAAAGCTATAAACAAGTCCTGCCTTTGTTCAGCAGCCTCCCTCCCCAGGAACAGACTGCCCTTCCTTTGTCCTCTATGACCTAGCTCCCAAGAGCCACCCCTCAGTCTCCTTGTTCCTTCACCTCACCCTGGGGATCAAGGAAATAGCCTCTGGAGACAGGGTGAATACGAGGCGTCCAGCTTGCTCTACTTCATCCCGGCTCCACAACTCTGGCTTTCTGGGGGGACAGATGGGACAACATGGAGTTGAGTGAACTGGGAGAAAAGATTGGGGACTTAGGGTACCTTCAAGCATATGGGATGGGATGCCACCCTGGCTGACGGTCAAGGACCTGGGTATAGGATGCTACCAAAGGGCCATACCCAAGAACAGGCTCCTGCAACAGCAACCTTCCCAGTTCTGTGGCAAATGTCTCTCCTAGGCAGAAGCCCTGCAGCTGACTGAGCTGGGACAGTAGAATTGGTAAAGGGATCCGTCGTGTGCTCTCTATTCCCAGGAATCCAACCAAGGGGCCCAGTGTATCCAGCACTTCTTCAGAGATCGGGGTCTCCTGTGGAGCCTGGAGAGAGGCATCACGCCTTGGACCCACAGTATCAGACACTTTGAACAGGACACCAAGTCCCCTTGACTCCCCCCCCCCCCACGTGCAACTCAGCAGCCATGAAGGCTCTTGTTCACTGCTTTACAAACCGAGTGAGCTCAGCCAGAAGCAGAGAGAAAGACCAAGAGGCAGAATCCAAAGGATTTCTTAGACTCCAAGGAACACGAGCACAAAACATGAAGGAAGTTGATCAAAAACTCAAGAGGCAAATCTAGAAGCCAAGGCCAGTGGGTAGCTTAGCCGTCTATGGCTGGGGCCTAGGAGTGAAAGAGCCCTGAAAGAGGGGCAAGGGTCACCAAGGACAGCAGATCTGAGTCTGAAGAAGTGAGAGAAGTGAGCTCTTACCAGGATTTTTAGAGCCCGCTCTGCCAAGGCCGCCCGGTGGAGTGGGGTCAGG